AATAGAACACATTTTGTAATATATGTTAGGAATATGGGAATCATTTTCATTTTTACTCTTACTCTTTACGACTGCAATTATGCACTTCAGCAAGTATTCTATGAACACGTTTTACTTTGTCGCTGACAGGCGTAAAACGATAATTAAAAGTTAAGAGACCATTCGCAATATATGTATGTATATGTTCTCTTATATGCCCCTAATATTATGTTTACTGTAAATAGTATAGTGTTATTAATAGCTTAACTTGGAACAATCAGCGAAACTTCCTGCTTATACGTATACCCAGCCAGAAATGTCGGTTAAATGAACTTGAATTTCACTTAAGTGAACTATTGACTGTTATCTAAGCGATCTTTATTAGGGCTTTCATTCTGGCGCTACTAGCTTCTCATACGGCTACCTGAGAGGCCGCATTCTTTCCTTGAGAAGTCCTCGTACTAGTCCATAGTTCAGAGTCTCATTTCGTAGCAATTATTCTCATTTAGCTCCGACCATTCTACACTCACATTATTTACAACAACGTTCACATGCTTTTTTTAATAGCATTCACAATTTTAGGCCTTAAAGTTTCTTGTCAAAAGGAACAAATGGTGTTATGTGAAATATGTTAAATATCTCAAACTAATATTCAACTAATAATCGTACATACGTTTCTCTGTTTTTATATGCCTATTTTTATATACTACAGTCAACTCTCTAATTTAAAAACTCTTCAAATTATTCACGCTAACGTTACTCAAGATCAACCCTTTCAAAATAATTTAGTCACATTAAGATAGAAAAGGAATACTTAAAATTTCTAACGGCAATCATATAATTGAATCGGAAGAGGTTACACAGAGGTTGACGTACTTTCGTATCGTTTGAAAATTATTAAAAAATATGAAAACGTCGCTAGGGAGAACCTACTTGAGCATTGAAAGTTGTCAGGATTCTATACATAGGTAAAATTAGCTGCCCATGTCATTGAATAATGTTACGCTTACTAGCTCTGAATTTAGTTTGCTAATTCTGAATTGATGTCTTCTAATGCGCCTCAATATAGTCCGTAAATTCTAAATAATTTGTCTTTTACAGCGTACTTTGCTGATTGTTTGATTCAACTAGCGTCGAGTTTTTAAAAGTTATGCAATATTTTTCGCTGGAGACTCGCCCCTCGGAGAGCTTGTTTTAGCTCCAACATAAACATCGTTTGGGCAGCGTGGTGACGGAGCGTGTTTTATATGCCTCGACAAGACATTAAAATGCGCACACGCCCCCTTTGGCGTGTGAATGTAACGAAGTGGACTGGAATTTCGGGGGCTGGGGTGGCTGCCAGCCGCGGTACCTGAAGCGAGTTTTTCAGCTTTTCTTCGCCTGCGGTTGGGAAAGCGAATTTCAGCAAAGTGCATGGCGAGCAAAGTCTGGCGAAGCTGCTGGGCCGCAGATGCTCGCCGGTTGCCTCGAGGCATAGTCGATGATGATGGGCTGGCTGCGAAAGGAGATTTCAATATCATAAAAACCCGTATTAAGAGAATCTCATATTGAGAATCGTAAAGTTTTTACGAGCGTTTAATGGACTCTTGCAGTAAGCGTGAGTATTTACGCGCTGCTTAAAAGCGGTAAAATATGGCCAAGTGGTGTCGGGAGACAAACACGGCCCTCTAATACTCGCAGCCGACAGTCAGCACGTTTCCTGCTCTGCCAAGGGGCAGCCGCCTGAGTTGGACTGCGATCCGAATAAGTGCATCGGAGACGATTTATAAATAATAATGTCAATTCGTACATTGTTCAGGCTTGTCCCTTGAGCATTTGGCAGCGACTGCAGCGCCATCTGGCGGCGATGTGCCGTACCACAGGTAACTAGCCATTTGATTGCCTGCAGTCGGTCAAGCAGTGCCCGCAAGCAGTTCATTTGCGTCCTTGCTACGTCTATTGCCGCGTGCGGAGTCAGCGAAGGTGTTTACCGTTTGCCGTTGCAGCGAAATTGATTTTGGCAAGCGAGACAGCAATAAACAGCTAAATGGCCGTGACTGTGCCTGTGGGAGGGTCTATGGCCGCACTACTGATTGGTGCACGAGCCCAGCTACCTGCGCTTTTTAATCACTATCGCAGGGCGCGATGCATCTGAGCAGACACCGATTGTCAAGCTGGAGATAGTTTGCACAAATATCCTTGACCCACACAGTTGTGGGCTGACTTTTTAGTTTTTGCATTATTATTCTTCTTTTCAACCGAGACTCTATTCCGGATGGTAAATGAGCTCTGAAAGGTGCATTCAAGGCAAAGGAAGCATATCCTAATTTATAATTATTATTATTTAATTATAATTATTGTATAGGTCATATTGGGAAGCATCGAGCGACGAATTAGAACTGTCCGCATATCTGTTCATTTGAATGCGTCGACATCCATCGATATCATTATCAAGATTGAACTTGCGTTTTTACAACACCTCTCTGATTAATGGACTCTTTTTAAAAGTAGCAAGTAGCCTGTATTTTATATTGCCCATAATGCCGTAATATCCAACTTGCTTTTCAGAAAGCCGTATTTGATAATCGAATAACGAGGAAATCGCTCGAACTGTCGACATGTTTTAAGCAGCATATAGTAAGGAGGAACATTTTAGAATAAAATAAAATTTATTATTT